TCTTCCAGCAGTGTTGGTGACACTTTGCATCCATTTTTTAGCGTTCTTAATGATGTTGAACCACGCTTTGATACGACAGTACAGCCCTTGCTCCTGGAATTGCTTTCCATCCATCATCTCTTCATTGCGTTGTTTCCAGAGATTCCAGCAGATAACCCCAAACTCCAATCCTTTCTCCTCGTTGCTGATGTTGTCCAGAAGCCATTGGTGGAAGGGAGAGTTCAGGTTCCTGATTGTGAGCTTGTCTCTGAATTTTTCCCAGGTAGCTTTAGCTTTTTCACAGCTTCTCAAGATGTGTTCCGTTGTTTCTTCTTTATCCCTGCAAAGGTTGCAGTTAGCATTGTTTAAGATGCCTCTTCTAACTCTTTCTCTGTTGGTGAACAACCTATCATGGAGGACCAGCCAAAAGAAGTGCTTTATTCTGGTTGGCCCTCCCCACTTCCAGAGCTTTTTCCACTGTTGCATCTCTTCTTCTTCCTCAAGGCTGGCAGCAAGAGCATAGGCAGACTTCATACGGAACCGTCCATCGCGTTCAAGCCCCCATGACATTTTATCCTCTCCGAGCTCAGGTTTGGGAGGTTCTGCACCTGCAATCAGAGATAGCAGCTCATCAGGAAGGAGGGTTCTCAGTCTCTCCCAGTTCCACTCACCTGTTTGGTTGACCCAATTAGAGACTGGTGAATCCCTTTCCTCGACAGTGATTTCCTCCAGCAGGTAGTCCTCCAGAATGACCCCACAATCAAGCCAAGGATGCTTCCAAAAACTGGTTGTCTCTCCATTGCGGATGCTCCAACAGGAAGCTTCCTTCATGAGGGGCATTACCTGAACAATGGCTTTCCACAAGCTAGAATGGTTAGTTTTTTTCATTGAAGTAATTTCTCCATTCTTATGCTTATAGTATTTCCCTTGGAGCACTCTAACCCAAAGATCATTCTCATTGTTAAAAATATTCCAAGCAAGTTTGATCATATAGGCTTTGTTAATGCTGCGAGCAGATCTGAGTCCTTATCCCCCCAGTTTCTTAGGTTTACAGATTTGCTCCCATGACACCAGGTGGGCTTTTCTCTTTCCCTCTTGAGATCCCCAAACAAAACCATGGATTTTCTTATCAATAACATCACACACAGTCAAGGGGATAGGGGTAGTCTGCATAGCAAAAGTGGAAATGGCATTCAAAACATATGTTGCAAGGGTAACTCTGCCAGCAAGGGTCAGGGTTCTAGCTTTCCAGGCTGTTAGACTTCTATCCATTCTATCGAGAATATACTTGTAAGTGTTCCTAGTGATCCTCCCATGTATGACAGGGACACCAAGATACCTACCAAGATCATTTGTTTCTTGTATCCCAAGCTTAGCACTAATGGACTACCTAGTACTGGTTCTGACATTTTTAGAAAAGAAAACACGAGATTTTTCTTTGCTAACAAGTTCACCAGAAGCTAAACAAAAAGAACCAAGACAGTTAAGGACAACATCAGCTTGGTTAGGGCAGGCATGGGAGAAAAGCACCAGATCATCAGCGAAGAACAGGTGGGTTAAAGCAGGACCATTTGGGGATAAAGTGACAGGTTTCCAATTTCCTTCCCTAGACTCTTTCAGGATGCAATGGCTAAGGCGTTCAATGCATAATGTAAAGAGGTAGGGTGAGAGAGGGCATCCCTGTCTTAATCCTCTTGATGGTTTGAAGCTTTCCGTTTCCCCACCATTCCAGAGGACTTGAAAAGAAGAAGTGGTTACACAAGCCATGATGAGACTGACAAAGTCCAAAGGAAAGCGTGCAGCACACAGGGTTTCTTTCAAGAACTTCCAGTTAATCCTATCGTAGGCTTTGGCGAGATCGACTTTCAAAAGCATGTAGCCTTTCTTCCCTGTTTTCCTGGACATGGAGTGCACTGTTTCCTGCAAGATTATTATGTTATCAGTAATGTGTCTCTTAGGAACAAAACTCAATTGATTCTGATGAACTAGATGGGGCATAAGCTTTTTCAGATTGTCAGCCAAGCTTTTTGCCACCACCTTGTACCCCACGTTACATAAACTAATGGGTCGGAACTGGTTCATAGAGCAGCGAGCATCCACTTTAGGGATTAAGGCAAGCAGAGTCTCATTCATGAGCTGGATTCTACTAGGGTCTCTGAAACAGGCAGTAACAAAGTTAGTAAAGTCTAATCCAACAGTGTTCCAACATTTCTGGAAAAAGAGAGCATGAAAACCGTCCTTCCCCGGAGCTTTGAGGCCATTCATAGCCATGATAATCCCTCTAATCTCAAGAGGTGAGGGAGGTCTTCCAAGGAGTCTGAGGGTTGCCTCATCGATCTCTGGGAAATCAGCAGCAATGGTGGGCCTGTTATCATCACTGTCGTTTGAGAAGAGGGTGACAAAGTGGTCTCTTGCCATGGATTGCAGTGTCTCAGGATCAGTAACCCAGTTTCCTTGATCATCCTTGAGGGCCATGATCTTGTTCCTTTTTCTCCTGCTCAAAGTGCAGTTGTGGAAGTATCTGGTATTTTGATCTCCTTTGGTGGTCCATTGTGCTCTTGATTTTTGAATCCACAGCATCTCCTCCTGCCAAAGCACACCCTCCAGATCCTCCCTAGTTTTTTGTTCATTAGCCAATGAGCTGCTTGAGGGGTTCCTTTGGTTGAGGATCTCAAGGGATTTGAGAGAGTTGAGCAACTCCTTTTTTCTTTTGAAGATGTTTCCAAAAACTTCCTTATTCCAGGTTGAGAGCTTGCTTGCCAGAGCCTGCAAAGAAGGAAGGAAATCAAAGCCAGCAGTCTAAGAACTGGCAACAAACGGAAGAAACTCTTTGTGATCTAACCAGGAGTCAAGAAATTGGAATCTTCTCACCAGCTTGTTTTTTCCCAGATTAGGGGAAGTGTCCGTGAGGATTGGCCTATGATCAGACTTCACTCTTGGCAGGTGTGTCACAGTAGTCAGTGGAAATCGTTGTTGCCAATCGATATTATACAAACTTCTGTCAAGCCTCTCTTTAATTCTGGTCTTGCTGGTAAACCAGGTGAAATTGGGGCCAATGTACCCTAAATCGACAAGACCACATTCTTCAATACATCCCTTAAAAGCACTAACTCTCGCAGGGTTGAAAGGTGCTCCTCCTTGTTTCTCAAACGGGCTGGTGATTGAGTTAAAATTCCCAGTCAGCATCCAAGGCAGGGAGAGGTTTCTTTCAATTCTCTTCAGTTCATTCCAAAGGCTTCCCCTGTCATGCTCGTTTGGGCTGGCATAAACAGCAGTAAGGAAGTACTTATCTCTTCCTCCCATCACACATTTAAGATGGAGGAACTGTCTGTGGTTATCAACAAGCTCCAGATTTAGTTTACTGCTGTCCCATAGGACCCAGATACCTCCACTGAAACCCGTCGCCTCCGACACTTTCCAAGAATCAAAACTAGTGGCCATGATGACTTTTGCAGCCTCCTTTCCACTAATCCTTGGTTCCTGGATACAGACAACATCAGGACTAAAAGTAGTCTTATACAGTTTAAGTGTAGCAAGAAACTTGGGGTGTTTTGCACCCCTGCAATTCCAGGAAAGAACTTTAACCATCACAATGATTCAAAAGCTTCCCTGTGTCGACCCTTTGGTCGAAATCAGCAGTTATCGACGGCCATTGCCGTCTTTTCCACCCCTGGAATGCTGCTGCAGGCAGTATCCTTCAGGTTGGTTGCATTTTCTGGCACTGACTTGGCACCATCCTTACTGAGGTCGAAGTTAATCTTCCTAAGATTGCCCAGCAAATTGGAATGTGGATGTGGATCCTTCTTAGAGTCATCAGTAACCTCCTTGCCATTCACAGTTTGCCTCATCTTTGGCTTATGACCTAATTTAGCTTCCACAGATGAGATATTGGTGTTGCTTGTCTTGGTTGAAGTAGGTGTAATCTTTCCACTAGAGTTTTTGAAAGATGGTGGTACACCCTTCACCGAGACAATGGCCCCCAAGTTTTGCCTGACAAGAGTAGCAGCATTCATCTTGGAGCTGTTCAACATTTCAGTCTGTTTGTGCGATTCCGGGGTTGGCTTCTGATTCTCCTTTCTTGTAGTTTGTTTTTTTCCAGCTTTTTTATCCTTGCTTTCCTTTCCCTCAGCTGTACCCTTCTGTTCAAACCTCTTCTTTTCCAGCTTTGTTTCCTCCTGTAATTTCTCCCTTCGATCTTCTCTTGAACTTTCATTTTGTTTTTCCAATGCATCACTCGTCTCTCACCAAACAATTACTTTTGAATTGCCATAATATTATGTATAGATAAATGGTGGGAATTGGATCCAATCAAGGTTGTCAACCCGCGGGTTGACCCACGGGTCGACCCAATTTGACCCTGACCCAGTGAGAAAAATGGGCCGCACACACCCGCCGGGCCGACCGCTATAATGTACTGGGTTGGAGGTCAAATTGTGTCATTTTTTTCTTTAGTTTGCGAAATGCGTCTATTTTCCAATTTTTCTTTTCGCCTAACTCAATCTTTGGAATACTAAGTTGAACATTTGAATATTTATGTTATATAAGTGTGTGTGAATTTTCACTATATGTTGGATCTAAGTACGATATGTTATTTTGGTGTAATATTATATGTTATAACTCATATGTTAGATAAGATTTGATATAATTTATGAGGATAAGTATAATATAATGACTCTTTCTATATTTCCGGGCCAAACCGAGCTAAAACGGTTGACACATTAACCTTTGACCCACTAACTCGACCGGATCCGGGTCAACCCGCGGATTGACAACCTTGGATCCAATTCTCGCAGTAATTGGATTAAAATGTAATTTAAGAATAGTAAGAAAGTGGTTGGAAAGCGTTTGGTGAGAGAGGGAGACCGCGAGCCGAGATTGCTCTTCTTCCGAGTTCCGACTGACAGCATTGGAAGGTCCGTCAGACCGAAGAGACACTGCGAAGCAAGTAAAGCACCGAACTTCCTTCTCTCTCTTATTTATTTATTTTTTTTAATTTTAATTTGAACAAACTTTCTTTATCATCCTTTTACTTTTCTCATCCTGCCAACCCTCTTGCGTTTCATCCCTTGTCGCTCCTCTCCGCAACCGAGTTCAGCATCCTTTCCCCCTTGTGAGAATGGCGAGCAGTTCGGCGGCGACTTTGGAAGATGTTCCCTCAATGGATCTCATGACCGAGCTTCTCCGCCGCATGAAGTGCGCTTCCAAGCCTGACAAGCGTCTCATTCTCATCGGTATTCCAGTTCCTAACGCCTGCCCTTTCGTTTTTTTCCCCCCTCCCCCTTTGTCGTTGTTCAGCTATCAGACTGGGCAATGAAACCCTAGCCGGCGCTTGCTGTGCGTAATTGGTGTTCTGGGTCCTGTTTATTTCCTCAGATCTGATTGCTTCCAATTTGATTTGTTCAAGAATTTTTATGAAGTTGTCTTCCCTATCGAATTTTGGTTGGTCCATTCAATTTGCCCCAGTCGTCGAGGATAAGTCAACGTTTCAACTTACCATGGGGTTTGCCGGTTTGGTGGTGTGATTTGAGTGAATGCCTTTTATTTTTAGGGTCTTGCACGGTTTAACAGCTGGGTCTTGAGAGATACAAAGTGTGCTTCTTTGTTTCTTGTCTCAGTTGGCGTTTCGTTGCATCCATGTAGCTTCCGGTTTGGGTTCACAGATATCGATGTGGGAATTACAAGCTTTCTCTTTGGTTTATCCTTGTGCATTGTTGAATAGTAGTTCATTGCCTTTCAACACAATCGAGAGATCTGTTATTGCAGTTGAGAAGGAATACAATGCTGCCTACAGCTTCATCCTGGTTTAAAATTTGCATTGATATATATTAGATCTTTTAATGTTCAAGGGCAAGTTTTAAGGTGCTGATATTCGAAATCGTTCCTCAGTAGTAGATAAAAATGCAAATGTGTCCGCTGGATCCTCTGATTACCTTGGTTTAATTGGTATAGCCTATATCGTTTTGTTCTCCAACAGGAAACTTGATTCTGATTGTATAGCGTATTTCATATATCATGAATGATTTCTTAGAATTCTTGTAACAGAGATGGTCATTAAATCAGTCACTTCCCTTTCCAGTTTTGTTTCCAAACCAGTGAGCAAATCTTCTTGAAGTCCTATCAGCCCATGTGGCTTCCCAATTTCTGTGTGGTGATTCTTCTAATTCAAAAGGGGTTTGGATTGTATGATTGGCAGGTCCTCCTGGGTCAGGGAAAGGCACTCAATCTCCAATAATCAAGGATGAGTTCTGCTTATGTCACTTGGCAACTGGGGACATGTTGAGAGCTGCTGTTGCAGCTAAAACTCCTCTTGGAGTCAAGGCTAAGGAGGCTATGGACAAGGTCGAAGACACACTAAATCATTATTTTCTTCTTCCTTCTGCTAATTGCAGAACATACTAAATTGAGTATTGGGAATTTCCTTTTTCTTCAGGGACAACTTGTTTCTGATGACTTGGTCGTTGGAATTATCGATGAAGCAATCAAGAAGCCCTCTTGTCAGAAGGGCTTCATTCTTGATGGGTTTCCTAGGACTGTGGTCCAAGCTCAGAAGGTGTTTCATGGAATATCATTCTATATTGTGTTTTGGCAAGGTATCCACGTGCAAATTTCTAATAATATACGACTTCATATTTCAGCTTGATGAGATGCTTGAGAAGCAAGGAGTTAAAGTTGATAAGGTGCTGAATTTTGCTATTGATGATGCTATTTTGGAAGAGAGGATTACGGGTCGCTGGATCCACCCTTCTAGTGGTAGAACCTACCACACGAAATTTGCACCTCCCAAGACTCCAGGCGTTGATGATGTAAGGAAAACTGGTTTTTATTTTATTGCTATAACTTTTACCTTGTAAATGCTCATTCAGAGTCCAACTTGAGTAGTAAGAATCAATTACCAAATTAGATATGTGTCCTTCCACTATTAGGTGTTTCTTTTTTGGCTTATTGGTGCCTATCTCTTAGAAGCAATCTGTGTCTCTGGACCTGGGTTGCGCAATCAAGATTAATTCATGTTGATTTCAAAAGATGTTGACAAAAACATGGTTGATTTAATTTTGTCAAGGTAACTGGAGAGCATTTGATTCAACGCAAAGATGACACCGCTGCAGTCCTCAAGTCAAGGCTGGATGCCTTCCACAAGCAGACTGAACCAGTATATTCTCTTCCATCTTTTTAGCCCTCTGTGATCAAGGCTTAGGTTTCTTGAGTAGCTGGGTAAACTGGTTATTTTGGGGTATGCTTTGCATATTATGCTTGGGAAGCTATTGGCATCGTTAAATGTTCACACTATTGACCATGTGCGAGTCTCATACTTTATAATTCGTTTGCTTAAATGTAGGTTATTAGCTATTACAAGCAGAAGGGCGTTGTTGCGGATCTTCATGCCGAGAAACCTCCCAAAGAGGTTACAGTCGAGGTTGAGAAAGTGCTTTCTTGATAGTGTGCCTGTCGAAAGGAAGTCGGCTTTACTTTAGGATTCGAGAGGGAATTTTTTTCCTTTTGCCCTTTTGCTCCTCTCGTGATATGTAGTGAACCAATGTCATTTGTGTTATCTGATCTTTTGCTGTTTCCTGGTTATTTAGGCTGCAATTTTCGGCTACTATACCAAACCATTGTTGAGGGCATTTAACTGCTGAGCCGCACTTTAAGAGAATAAATATACTGCAGCTTTAGCTCAATTTAGTTTTGCATATGATGTGGTGGCTTCTAACGTAGTGTATTAGTATGATTCTGTAACGCAATGGTATTTGTTGTAAGCAGCACACTCGGAACAGTCCGTCGGAAGGAAGACTTGTTCATTTATTTCCCCCGAATTTGGAGACTCTAGGCAATTGGTTTTTCATCAACTTGTAGAAGAAGTAGTGTCTAATAACAAACTCTAAAATATTAAGCACTCCTATGAGAGGAGAAACCATTTTCCCCAACAGGCATTGAGAGAGACATATCATATGTCGTCGATCAGAATCTTGGCATGAAGGTGACCAACCTCCTGGAAGAATGCCTTAAAATGCTCATACGCGTATTTCACATCATCCACTGCACACATCTCTCTAATGCTGTGCATGGATAGCTGAGGAGCCCCCACGTCAACTGTACGGATACCCAACCCACTGGCCAGGATCCGGCCTATGGTTGAGCCACATCCCATATCATTCCGTACCACAAAATCCTGCATTTGTTTCACAGTAGAACTTGTTACTTTCCGCAAGCAATTGCGCGGTTTAACCATCATCATGCGGCCAAAGTCACTGCTACAGCCAAACTGGAGAGAGAAACACACCTGAACTGGAAGGTTGTGCTTTGATGCTATCTCCCTAAAAATGAAGGAGGTTACTGCATTTGTTGCATAGCGTTGATTAGCATTGTGTTTAATCACCAAGCCTCCATGCAACTTGGGCTGATGATATTCTTCGTGTTTGTCCTGAGACATGCCACGCGCTACATATTCAGATACGTCATATCTGAGTGAAAACTATTCGTGTCATTTTGAGCAAGAGATTGTTTACCGAATAGTTAGGATGAATTGCGTGGGCCATGTCAGCAGACACAAGGAAGCTACTCTGGATTGCCCTTTGAAGAAGCTGTCAACAAATAGCAGGAGGGGGAAAACATAAATGACCAAGTTGCATTATGTGTCTACCCCATGTAAGTGTAGTAAAATTCAGAATTAGAAGAGCACATTGGAATCTGAGCTGAAGGAGCTTGTGATTCGTGATAGAGCATCTAGCATTACAGGAGATCCAGCTCCTTGTGCCGACTCAGATCCAACCTCCTCATGATCAAACAATGCCACCACTCTAACCCCACTCTCGTCTTCCAGCTCACTTTCCGTAGATGTTGCATCTATCAACGCCTGGAATTGAAACAAGCGCAGACATGCTTAAAGAGCTACATCTATGTTCATGACCTCAGGAAAAATAAATTTTCAACCTTCACGACACAACCAAGACAAGGGAGAATGTACTATATCATATGAGATGACAGGACTTCAAATATGTTTTCTTTGGATAGAGTGTCAAAGCATCAGCAGACGAGGTGCATACACTAGCTTCAAGAATCACGTAGTACTTTTCTACTCATCCCTAAGCGAAAAGTTGCATCCTAGTTCTAGTCAAATTGATTTTGGGGGTGTTTTAGCCATTCTACTATACTCTAAAATATTGTGTTTTGTCGAGGTACAAATTGAACTTGCACCATAATGTAAAATGCACAAGTTCAGTTTGTACCATAAAACAATTTGCACTTTTATGTTATGGTACAAGTTCAGTTTGTACCCTAACATAAAATTACAAATTCAGTTTGTACAAACTCAACTTGTACAATAACCATAAAGGTACAAGTATCGTTTATACCATAAAAGAATTGTTTTGTAAACGAAACCACGGATGCTATAAAGCATTGTAAAATTCCTCATTCTTTTAGGGGGAAAGGGGTACAAATTGAATTTGTACAATAACATTAAAGATACAAACTCTGTCTGTATAATAAAAGTTTTTTCGTTATTTTGTAAACCTAAGCACCGATGCTAAAATCATTGTAAAATTCCTTATCTTTTTAAGGGGAGGGATGGCATGTTTGCTATTACACGGCTTAGATAGAATAATAAGAAAAGTATGTTTGTTTTATAGTTAGAGTTTCAGTAATTTCTCTACAAGTATGTATGCTGTTATGCCTTTCAGATTATTAAGAAGAGTAATAAGAAAAGTATCCCCAAAACTCTATTCTCTCAATCCTTTGAAATTTCATCTCTCCTATCCCTAAGGCTGCTGACCATTCTCTTATTTGGTCAATTTCTTCTTCAAATCCCTAATCACAAATTATGTTACGAATAATCGTGGGTTCCCAAGATCGTGTTTCTATCAAACTGTACTTAAGGTTTTTATAGATAGAGCCAGAACACAATAACAGAGGAGACTACCACACATTCTTTTTATCCAATGCAAACTAAGAAGGTGAATTCAGGATATTCGATGGTAAATTGGAAAAGCAATGTGTTAAGAGTTAAGGCAATCTTATACCTGTAAGGAGCAAAATGACATGCACAGATTATCAAGCCTTCCAGAGAATATGAACTCCTTCAAAGCACCACCTATTGCACTTGGCTGTGTATCACAAGCTTGCAGTTCAAAATCACATATATCATCTGGTTTACACCCGATTTTACTTGCAATGATCTGCAGGAAGTTCGCGAGCGAAGCCAACAATGAGATATCCTCGAAAGCCAAAATATTATTCATATCTAAACCCCACTCCAATAAATGGCCTTTCTTTAAGAGTGAAAAAGGCAAGGTTATTCATAAAAAAAGGCAAGGTCAAAGCAACAATCTTAAAGAGGCTCAAGGTTGCTAAAAACTGGAAGAAAGTGAGAGGTCATCAGTTAGATTGACTAACCTGTAATAGAACTAGATGATGCTTCAAGTTACCTTTTCCACCGTCGTCAGTGGATATTTGTTCATCATTGTTTTCCCCACTTTCAGCACGGCCACTTTCAACTGCCACTTTGTTAAGCTCGGCCTGCAAAAAAGCAGTTCCTCGCTAAATGTAACTGACAAACCAAAGAACATGCTTTTAGTGTACTTGTGGTGGTGTTATGCAGCCAAGTTGTTTCAGTAGGTAAAACTACATTATAGCCTCATGAAAGTCTTAATACATGTTCTGACAGCCTGCTATGGTTTAATAATTGATAATTAAGTGGCTTTGTTTATTGCCCTCAAGCCAACTCAAACATCGGACATATGATTGAGGTATTATGACTAAACATAACCTAAATAATTGGCAGGGAGTGGATCTATCAATTACAAAGTAATCGCATGTCATGTAAATAGTGTTTCTATATGGCCCTCAAGCCTAATCAAACGTGGAACATATTATGGAGATATGATGACTTAGCATAACCTAACAACTTGCAGGGAGTGGATCTAGCAATGATGAATCATAAAATAGGCATTTCTTTGAGTGCATAACCAAATGATGATCATAAGATCCAGAGATTACCTTAACTAGTGTAGCCAAGACTGGTAGCAGATGGCTCTGTGTGTTAATTTTAAATCCCTCACTATTAACAGTCCTGTTCAATCACAAGACAATGTGTAAAATTCCACAAAGAGAAAAGAGAGTTATAAAACAAAAACCCAAGAAACTTGACTACAAACAACAGCCAAAATAGCAAGAAGCTGGTGCATGTGTGAGAAAGTAAAATCCCGTTGACAATTCAGAATACTTCAACGTAGTTTATCACAGAAGCAAACCTGTCTAGGTGAATTGCAATAGTAGGGATCCGAATAATAGGTTCCTCAATCCTAACTAGTTTATGTGAGTAGGAAATAGTCCCATTCTTATCCTCTCTCACTATAACCCGCCCTGCCACTGTCAAGTCACGGTCGAACCATGTATGCCATAGACCTCCTCCGTAGAGTTGCACTCCAACTTCTAAGTAACCAGCTTTTGTTACCTGGACAAATCCACCAGTTTCAGAAGTACAAATTTAAAGTGATGGTGGTCAGACAAAAATCTTCAAACAAAGTGGTTCACTATTCAGCTTAAATGGCTAGCAGCCTGGGGCAAAGAAGGCTTACCTTGGAGACAGGCTTCAGCTTTAAACAAGGACTATCACTATGAGCACCAATTACGTGGAATCCATTGCCAGCAACATACCTATACACCATCAACAAAACACACACACCACGATCAGGTTTAGCATCAAAGCACAAAAGTTTAAAACATCGATTATTTTCCTTAAGGCTAGAAATTGGGAACTTTCGAGAGCATATGAAGAAACAACGAGCTCCGATCAGGAACAGAAGAATGAAGAGACACCTACCTGTTACCAATGGCAAAAGCAACGATGGTGGAGTGGTTCCGAGTGAAGAAGTAGCGCTTTCCAGCTTCCAATTTCCAATCTTCCTTCTCGGACACCTGCTCGAATCCCACATTTCTCAATCGCCTCTTCGCCTCGTCTGAAGAAAACCCGAAGAAGGAGGATGAGAGACAGGCAAACTTTCGATAAGAAACACATTGGATGTCAGAGTGCTCGACTCTGGGACGACTTTGTCAGAGAAACAAACAGGGACCGGAGAGAAGAGGCTTTGATCACCAACGGCATGAAAAGCTGTGGGGGAAGCATTCAAGAAGTCGATGAGATCAGTAGCAATGGAGATCCCGTCGCACTGGTTTACTTGCCTCGCCATATATGCTGGCTTCTTGACATTCTCTTCGAGCTGTAAGAATTTCCCTCTTCTGGGTATGGAGGAGAACTGACAATGGTGTTAACAACGTTAAATCGGTATACATCACGAAAGGAAAAGCCAACACTACTCTACGAATCGTTCCTATCCCTGGCCTTTTCAAAAAGCTCTGGTCTAAACTATGGAAGCTCACTATCCAATATAACCACAAGTTCGATTCTTCATTTGGAGAGTAGGAAGAGGGTTTCTTCCTACCTGTGCAAATTTGGAGGGGAAGCTGGAAAGGGTTAGCCTGCATTGCCTCTTCTGCAGCCTGCCTGAACGGCAACTCCACATCTTAAGGGCGCGTGACTGGTCGACAAGGATCTGGCAGCCGTGCCTGGTTGCAGACTGCTTCCATCTTGGTGAAGGCAAGTCCTGCAGGCAGTGGTTATCCGATGTGTTTGAGCAGACTGCTTCCATCTTTGCAGGCGAGAGAAACAATCATCACTTCAATAAGCTCGATGAAGGTGAAATCCCTAGGGCGAGTTTCTGATTACCTGGAGGCGCAGGACAAATGCGCGCTGGCCGAAAGAAGTGAGCATTAGCAGCAGATTCAGAGGTGGGAGGGAGACCGAGGGCGGGGAGCCTTGAAGTTGAATTCAAACGAGGGACGGCGGTGGCAATGGGGTTGGAAGAAGCTAAGCGAAGATGGCGGAGCCGCCTTGAAATCGAGAACAGCCAACCAGGTGCTTAGAACGGTACGTTGCTGAGCAGAGATGATGCAGATTTCACGGAGGTGGGTGAAAGAAAATCCGATGGTTGGCAATGCAGAATGAAATCTTTTGGAAGCAAGGTTGTTAACTCGGTTTGTACAGTTCACCCAATCCAGGGTTAATGGCCGCTTTACCTCAATTAAATTTTTTTTATTACCGAAGAACCTCAGCCCACGTGCTATTGATTAGGAGTGGAAATCCGTACGATATCGGTATCCCAATACCAAATACCGAAATCTCGAATACCGAATTACACCCTAAAGTCAATTCCAATTTCAATCCCTAAATAATTTCGGTATCCCAATCTCAATTTCTAAATATTTCGGTATCCCAATCGGTATTATCGAATACAAAATTAATTATCTTTGTAATTAATAATTGAATATATAAATTATATTTGATTGTTTAATTTAAGGCAAAGAGACTAAGCAAAGAGTCTTGACTCTTGAGTTTACCTAGAGGTAGGATATGGATAAGGGGAATGGAAGAGAGGTGACATCTCAAATTCTTGTCAGTGGTAATCTTTAATTTGACGAATTGGAGGTTGAGAGACGACTAATACTATTGTTTACTTTTTGGTGTTATGAAAATAAAAAGAGATTAGGTGAGAGACGAGAGTGACTTAAATTGGAAAGTGAAAATTGAGTTGGGTGAGGCTTCTAAGTTGTGAAAGAGTGAGGAATGACTTAACGTTGTGTGCTATATTTAATTAATTTTTAATTTTTCGGTATTTCTCGGTATTTCGGTATTATACCGATCTCAATCCCATAATCCCGAATACCGAATAGCACTCTAAAATAAATCATAATCCCTAAAAAATAAATCGGTATTCGGTAATACCAAATAGTGATAAATTCGGTACTGTATTCGGTATATCCCAAATACCGGTACCAAACTTCCAGCTCTACTAGTGATGACAATGGGTTGGGGTGGGTACCTCAATTTCCATGTCCCGGCCCATGCTACTACAAGTCGGGGCGGGTAAAACTCGCATGGGTACGGGTCAGGTCGGGTCGACCCACTATTACATGTTATTTGAAAAAAAAAACATCAAATTTTACTTTTTACGATAAAAAGAAGGGGAAAACACTATATAATTGAATAATAATAATAATATAATGGGTAATTTAGTCTAACAAATTGAAAAATCAACTCTAACTAGTTGAAAAAAGTCAAAATAGGAGAAATATATATAGATATTGTAAGAAATTGAGATAGATAGAGTCAAGAACAGGGCGGCGGGGCAGGGCTGGTTGGAAGTAGATACCCATGTCCCGTCCCATACTACTGCGGGTCGGGTAATACTCGTTCTATCGCGGGTCAAGTCGAGTAATACCCGCGGGGCGGGTTCAAATTGCCATCACTACGTACCACTTTGTGACAACGGGTGCTACTAAACATGGGGGCCACCTGCAATCAAATTTGACGCCAACAGGGCTTCGCTCCCCGCAGCCTTGTATCTCCGTGAACACCAACGGACATCGCTTGGATTCGAACTTGAGACATGCAACTGCCAACCCTTCGCTGTCGCGGCAGCTATACTGTTACGCTATCTTACTTTTGGTACCTCAATTAGTTTGAATATATGAAAAGTTAGAGTAAATACAATTTATTAGTCAAATCTTTCGTTTTAAAACAAAATAATAGTAAAATCTTTTCAAAAAACAATTTATTAGTCAAACCGTTAACTTTTCATCCAGATTCCGATTAAATGTTAGTTGACTCTGACATTGCCAATTTAGACTGATGTGCCTAAAAATCAATAACTGACATTGTCACATAGATATATCTTAAATTTAATTAATTTTATTATTTCAAATAATAATAATAACAATAACAAAATGTACCCTCTTGACCGGTTATCCCTTTCCCAAGGTTGTCAAACCGGTTTATGCCGGTGTGCCGGTTTTGTAAGTGGAATGGTCTGACCGTGGTACAACCAGTATTCATGCCAGTTGTGCCGGTTTTAATAAAATACATTAGGAAAATGGAAATCCTCAATTCCAAATAAATTAGTCATGAAAAAGCAATTAGAAGAATTATTTCACACAAAATAATTTATAGCTAAGAATCGGTAACTAATACTAAATAATTAGATGCTTAAAAATAAAATTTTATTAAATGAATTTTATTAATTGTTGATGCCGAGCTCCGAGGAGCCTGCTTCAATGTGTTTGAGGTCCGGTGAGCGCCGATCTTCCTGGCCAACGTCCGCCACCAGCCTCCGAGATGGACACCTGCAAAACAAAAGGACCCGCCGGCGGTGGTCGGCGGGGACCTTCTCTGAAGCTCAAGTCAGTATTTGAGAGGAGGGTAACCGTGAGTGGCATAGTAAGTCGGCTCTAGAGAGAGATTCAAAAATTCCATTCCCTATGAGATGTCGAGAAAGCATAAATGAACATCATATTTATAGGTGCCTGCTGCTCCTGGCGTGGGGGCGTGTGAAGAATAACAATAATACATTTACCTCCAACCAACCCTGAGTGCGATGACCGGTTAAGTATAAAAAACAAATCACCCAACCAACAAGACTGAGTGCAATGCTGGTTAGGGTATATAGAATATAACAAATAAACATATTGAGAGCGTAAGAGTAACACATAGAAGAAGAAAGACAAAGAACACCACCTCCTTCCCATCTTTCTCTTAAACCATGTACAAATAGTGGGAAGGGGATAGTGATGGTTTGAGAAAACTAATTTTCAACATCCCACCTTAGACTACGTGTCAGTAAAATGAACAAAGTGAGGTGGGTTGTAGGAGATGGCTTTGTAATTACCACATAATGCACTTATGATCTTGGCATGCATGGATAGCTAGTTTGAGAAGTGCCAGTTTAGACATAATGAGTCATCTCCCCATGAATTAATGGAACCACATGTCTAGGCTAAGCCTACCCTATTATCCTCCCCTCCCCTCCACCCCACCAAACCATCATCTCCTCTAAATCCACGTAGGACAAAGTTGGCAAGGTGGCAAATAATCACCCCCCATTCTTTACCCCATGCATGAGCAATAACCTATCATTTCTCCACCTCATGCCATCAATTAACACGTAATAGCTAGCTAATTATGCTTTACTTGATGGGTGGAAAATTTACCCCAACATGGAATATATTGACAACAAACCTCCCACCTCCAAATTACACGTGGATAAGTGTACTATCCACCCATGAACCATTTCACTAACCCAAATATCCACCAAATTCATTACGTTCTTGCCATCCATGCGTACATGCAATGCCAATTACACGTGTATACATGAGTTGATAATTAACTAAGTAATTTCCACCAATCAAACACTTTAATTCCACTCCATCCAATTCCATACTTCTACACGTGTAAACCAATGTGAACTTGGGCATTATCTTGTGCTGGTAGTCATGATATGCATACAGGCATGCACCCACGTCCGAGTCAATTTCCCAAACCTTCAAGTAATTTCTCAATTCAATTTGTTTATTCATGATTAATAAAAGGACACGCCACCCATGCCAGGAGCATGAGGCACCTATAAATAGGACGCTCATTTATGTTTTCTCGGCAATCCATCTCAAATCTAGAGAACTCACTTTCTCTGAACGAGATCGGAAAAGGGGAATTCCCGACGAACTTCTTCTTGGAGAATTGGCAACTTCCAACCCCGGAATTTCTCTTTCTTTCTCCCTAGAGCTGGCTAAATATGCCGCTCCCGGTTATTTCCAAATACTGATTTGAGCTTTGGAGAAGGTCCCAGCCGACCACAACCGGCGGGTCCTTTTTTGCAGGTGTTCATCTCGAGAGCTGGAATTCAACGGCAACCAAAAGGTCAACGCTCTCCGGACTCTACAACGTTCGAGGTCGGCTATTTTAGCTTGGCATCAATAATTGGCGCCCACCGTGGGGCCCGGTGAGATTACTACCTACAGATTGCCAATTCAACCAGTCGAGATGGATACAACAAATTCACAACTGCAAGTTGACATAGGTCAAGGTTCAAGTCCAAACCCTGAGCAAACTCTGCCATCCCAAAGGGTTGAAGATTTGCAGGCTGAAATTGAGCGACTTCGTGCTCAAATTCGGTCTGCAACGGAGGCTCCACAACCACCACTGGTCCCTCTACCAACTTTCTACGGGAGTACGGGACTCCCTGGGTCCTCCAACGACCATCGGAATGGCATACCGGCAGCAACTGAAGCAGCAACCCGGGATGTGCCCCCAGTTGTTCCTCACTTTGAAGAACTCCCTCCTGCGGGGACATTTTCTCAACCAAGTACCGGTCGGCCCCTGGCTTTGGCCATTCTAAATGAGCCATACCCGGGAAATATCCATATACCCAACCTTCCGGAGTACAATGGCACCACCGACCCAGAAGATCATCTCAGTTCCTTTGAGATTTTGATGCCGCTTATTGGTGCCTCTGATGCCACCATGTGTAAAATATTTCCCGCCACTCTTGGAGGAGACGCTCGTCGATGGTACTCTCAGCTTCGCAATGGTATCATCATCAACGTCACCGAATTTTCCACACTATTCCGGTGCAAGTTTTACGCCCAAAAGCGACAGGCAGTGAGCATTAATCAGCTCATGAATACCAAGCAACAAGAGGGTGATGCTTTAAAAGCCTATTATGCTAGGTACATCACCTTGTCTATAGGTGTCACTTCCCTCTCTGTTGAAGTAATTTTCAGCACGCTGACACGAGGAACAACAAATAGTCTTCTCCGGGCTTCCCTCATCAAGAAACCTCCTCGGAGTATGTTTGAGATACAGGAGCGGGTCATGAAGTACATCGGTCTAGAGAGAAGCTTTACAATATTCCTCCTACGTGGTGCCAAAGCGTAGGAGGGATTCGCCTCCACCGAACCGAGAAACTTTACAACGCCCCCGCCCAACTTTGGATAACATGCCCAAGGCTCAAAAAGATGATCGCAGAAGGGATGGACCATTCCATTCAGGCCAAAATTTTACCCCACTCAACAATCCACGGAGGACTGTTCTCCAGGTCATTCAAGATAAAAAGCTTCAGGTGACATGGCCACCTCGAGGTCGCATAAAACCAAGAAAAGGAAAGAATCAATTTTTTGACTTTCATCGGGGATACGCGCATGACACCGAGGAATGCGAAAAGTTGGGAAGATCCATCGAGAGACTGA